AGGAGCACATACAGTCAACTCCAACCCATCTCGCAAGGTAAAACGCGTAAAAATCACGAGCGACCCAATTTTCGTGGTGCAAAAGCTCGACGCACTACACTACACTAAAATATGCACGCTACCGTAATTCGGACGCCGAGTTTTTGAAAGTTCCTTTCTTTTGTTGTTTTACGTATTCTTTTCTTTGCATTGGATGATATCCACTACTGGGAGATGTGATAAAGGGATTTGTGAGCCAGGGTTGCACAGAGACCGCAGGAGGTGTGACTGTCAGGGAGCGATTTTGTTTATGGTGTTCTTGAGGACTCTTCTTGCTTTTTTCTTTTTTGGGGAATTACTTATCAGCTACTGTTTCATAATTGAACATCAACTATCCATGACACTTTTGTCGCGGTAATTGTCTTTAATATTCACTTGATTTTTGTGGGTAATATCAGTTGCTGACGAGCATTTGTCCATTCAGCAAAGGCCTAAATTACACTGTAAATTTTTGTAGTTCTTACAAGCTTCAACTTTACAGCCAGAACTGATTCCTGATCCGGAAGCATCGAAGCCAAGCGACTGGGATGATGAAATGGACGGCGACTGGGAACCACCAATGATTGATAATCCGGCTTGCAAAGGCGTTAGTGGTTGTGGGCCGTGGAAGAAGCCGCTCATCCCGAATCCACTTTATAAGGTTGGGAAGTTTCCACAGATCCTTCGGCATGCTGCCCATGTGCTGACAACTCTCAGTTCCTTCGAGAAAATTCTCGAATTTAGCGATTGATATTTTGATCTAAGTAAGTAGTATTTAAGGGTAAATGGACTCGTCCACGAATTCCAAATCCTGCTTATCGCGGTGTGTGGACTCCTCGTCAAATTGAGAATCCTCACTATTTTGAGCCAAAACCGTTTGGAGGCCTCGCTCCCATTACGGCTATCGGCATTGAGCTATGGACAATGAGCCAAAACATCATTTTCGGTGAGCTTAGTCTATCAATATTTGAACCAAATTATGTTGAATTTGGTTGTAATATTTATGAAGTATTTCTACGCTTCAGACAACATTCTTGGTTTGCGAGTCGGAAGGTCTGGCAGCCGATGTTGCTAAACAAACATACACTATCAGACGTGCAGAAGATGCTCGATTAGCTTCTAGTCAAGGCAAAGGAGCAGGAATAGTGCAGGGTATTGTGGATGCTGCAAATGTGGGTTATTCCAATGAATTCCGAGTTTCTGTATAAAAAAAACAATTTCCCGATCAGGATGCACAGTTGGAAAGGATGATGTGGCGGGATTAGTACGTCCCCTCGCTCCCTTCCCAACCCCTCCACATTGAAAAATGGGCTCGGTAGTTTTTTCACATAACCTCCTGTCTTTTGCCAAAATTCTGCCATCG